CACTGAGCATGTACTAGAAGCTGTGAAATATATGAGAATAATGGCCATTGGCTCAAAGTCAAGAGTTTTTTTATTCTATTGGCTACAATATGAAAAGGTGTAAAACCTTACAGCACTCACATGGAGACAGCAATGGGGAACATGATCCCATCCCAAGCTGATTTTGAAAACTGACCATTAGAAGTTATATAGGAATTTACACAGCTTTAAAAGAAGGTGGTTTAGATTTCATTTGTTAGAATGTAGTCAATGGCAGGAAATATATCTGACAAATTCCACCTGTTGAAAGAAGCAGTCTAGAGAAATTATCATCTACTTTTCAGTAGATAAGTTGTCCTGGTTTTATTATATCAGCTATATATTAAGGAGTCATTTAGTCCTATATAATATGGAGAGTAGATTAGATCTGTCTGATGGTTCCTAAGAAATCATAATTTCTAAGGTAGTTGTGAATCCAATGCAGGAACTGACCCTTGCTCATTTATTTAAAGCTTTTCAAAAGTGGCACTTAGTGTCACATGAAAGGGACTATTCCTGCAAAACATAAGCCAGTGATACTGACAGTAGCTTGGAGTGGTAGAAAACCAACAGAGGGATGGGAGTAATAGCTCCCACCATTGCTACTGGACTTGTTCCAGTACTGCAGTGAACACAGCAGCATTACATGTTTGCATTAAAGGTCTTTTTGGATGAGAGAGAGAAATTGTTTTCTTAATCCAAGAAAGATATTTCTGTGTACAATAAAAAACTTACAAGGGGAATTGAGATATAAAGTCACAATTTTTTGAGGCTGGCTGTTACAGGATATGAACCAGGGGAATTTACTCATTGCAACTTTTCACAGTAAATTGAAGCAAGTATTTTTTTTTCCCCTTTGTTAAGCACAGGTATGTGGTCAAGTTGCAGCATCACAGGACAATTCAGTCGGTCTGCTAGCTAAGGAACTAACAGAAGCAGAACTGTTTCCACTCCCCTAGAGCTGGGCTGCTTCCCTTCTGCTGGCTCATATAGGCCTGACTTTGTAGTCCAGGAAGCAAAGTCAGCAGTAAACTAAACCTACAAAAGTAGTCATTATTTCTCTTCCCATTTATTTCTTTGGAGTTGTTTATCAGAAGTCCAGAAGAGAGATGGGTCAGGAACACAGAACAATGGACTAGATCTGCTGTGGCTGTTGTTACGGCTTGGTGAATACACAGCTACTCTAGTGAGGGATGTGGGAATTCAAGCATGGCACTGTAACTTGCTATTAAGGAAATGTATCCACTACTGCAAATAAAGACATCTAAAATACTGCAGCAACACCAGACTGGTTTCCCACACCAGACTCCATGTGAGCATGGCAAGAAAATAAGTCCCTAAGTAAGTGGAGCAAAACTGCTTTAATTTATGTGTTAACTTTAAATGTTAGTTTCAGGTTTGTGCAATGCATTATGCATAACTAAAAGTCTTTAAAAGAGATTACTACAAAGCATCTATCAGTGCTTTTGCTATACCTCAATGATATTCTGATACTTGCTAATATCTCTCAAGAACTGGGACATTGATGCTATTATCACATACTATTATGTGATAATAGTAAGAATGTACATATGAAATGAAAAACAAATAACTGCAGGTTGTCTCAAAATAGGGTGATTGAACTAGGTCCACAAGAAGCAGGAAGGGAATTTCCTTCATCCAAAGATTGGATGCTCTAGAGAATTAGTCAAATCTAGAGGCAACACACAGGGGATTTTTGCAACTGTTGTTACAACACGTTTACTTGTGCTTTGGTCAATATTGCAAAACCATTGCATAGTTTGGGTGAGAAAAAGAAAACATTTCAGTGGTCAGGTTCTCATACCTTCTTCCTTCAGGATTGACCTACCAATGTTTAAAATGTCTTATGAAAAAAAAGATTAAAAATACCTTTACTTTTGCAGCTGTAATATCACAAGGACAGTATTGTCTGTAACTTCTCTAGAAAATATAGTACCCAAGTGGAACTCCTTCTGAATATGTTGCATATTTGGGAGAGCAGGAAGAGCTGGTCTCAGGGGGAGTAGGAATTCTGTAATTGGAAAAGACAGTGTTTGCCTGAAGCAGAGTATTAGAAAAGGACTCTTACAGATCTGCTTGAGAGTCAAACACAAAAGCTACTAGCAATTTTCTCACCACACAAATGCAAACAAGCAGACCTGAGCCAAAGTATGGAAATACCATTACGGATTATTTACAAACATTGCCATAAGCACAAATATTGTAATGGTAAGCATCTAGGTTAAAATCCGTTTAAAACAAGTATTCAAGTAGAATGAAATATGCCTTAAAACTACCTGTCTCTGCAGTGGCCACCGTGGGAGGCTAGACTAGTACCTTTGAATGAACACTTTACCTTCACATAGTTAATTTAAGTGACATGTCTGCTATGCCCACCATCAAGCTTTCCTGTAAAACAGCACCAAAATGATCAGGACTGTTAGTGTAGAGTCGTGACAGTCGACAAAGACACAGAGTCTAGTTGTGTGCAGAAAAGATGTCTCACTTTATTTTCTCATCTGCCTTTTTATATTCCTTGCTAGCAGCAAGCAGTAACCTTATTTTAAGTAAACAAGCAACAGCATTTTCATTGGCTAGGATCCATTGGTGATGCATTTGGCAAAGCTCGAGGCCTTATTGCAGTTCCCACATCCTAGGCCTACCAACTTTACAGTCTGCATTTGTTTCTTCATTAGGGCTGCGTACTGACTTCCTTATCATCAATGATACACCCAAAAGCTTGCCCAGTCAATATCTTCATCCTGGGAGCTAACAGACCCACTATTAACCCCTTCACAGGACCATGCCTGGTCACACTCTCTTTGGTATTTCCATTGCTGCAGCCAAAGAGAGAGGATATACTGCAAGAGTTTCAGTGTCTGTGTAGCTGAAACAGGACCTTCTCATTGAAAGCACCCATCATATTACAGCTACTGTTACCTCATATGACCTTGTCATTGGAGGTAGTGTTTTGCCTTAGCCCTGGATACACCTGTATCATTTTAATTCATTTTCAGTCCCAGGACATATTCAAAAAGTTGATCTTAAGACATTGCTGCAATAAAAATTCCACTGTATAAATCAACCTTTCTTGCAGAAAAAACTTTTCCATTGGAGGAAACTGAAGAGAGTAATATTATTATGCTCTCTCAGTTGAATGGGCGAGTGTCTTGTTTCTGGCTGCAGTCTGGAAGGTATTAAATGAAAAACAGGTGTCTGGATAGATCAGTGCTTCAACTTCACAGCCAAAGAAAGTAACTAAGTCCTTTAGGAAAGCTATCCTGCCACCTCTGCTGTATTGGGTCTGGCTGAGCTGGAGTTCATTTCCCCATAGAAGCCCTCACAGTGCTTTGCTCTGCACTGGCAGCTAGAAGGGTGTTGATAACACACCCATGTTTTGGCTACTGCTGAGCACAACATCAGCACTGTAACATTCCTTTCTCACTCAAGGGCAAGATCCTGGGAGGGGACCCAAGTAGGCCAGCTGACCCAAACTGACCAAAGGGATATTCCATGCCATATGATGTCATCTCAGATATAAAAGCTAAGGCAAGGAGCAGGAAGGCGGGCATTCCTTGTCTCCAAGGGCTGCCTGCTGAGGAAGCATTACACGTAGCAAAGCCCTGCTTCTTGGGAGTGGCCGACCATCGCTGCTGATGGGAAGAAGAGAATAAACCCTGCTATCTTCCACTTCGCTTTTGCTTTAAATAAACTGCCTTATCCCAACCCACAAGGTGTTTGTCCACGTTACGCTCTCCCCTGTCCAGCCGGGAAGGGGAGTGATAGAGTGGGTGGGTGGACACCTGGCATCCAGCCAAGGTCAACCCACCACATCTGCTTATGGAGCTGTAGCACTGCTTGGAGTAAGAATATATCTAATAGATTTGCAGTTCAAACAATGAAGCTTTGATATCAAAGGAGCCAAGCAGAACTTGTTCTCTCCAAGGCACCCAAAAAGTCTTGTGTTTCAGCACAGTGGATATGTCTCTTATATTATACTCCTGTAAAGCACTCTTTGAAGGTCTTGAACCAAACCAAAACACAATAAAACACATTCAGATGGAAAATATTTTTTATTGATCAACTTCTTGTTCCAGACCCTCACTCCCCACCCATATTCCTGATCTCACATCATCAATTCCACATGATTTCAGGATATGCTATTAATCATTTTTTTGTTGACTTTATTCCCTTGTTTCACAACAGGAAATAAGAATGTTTGACAGGACTATTCAGTGAAATAAAGGCCAAATGTTTGATAATCAGTGTTTAATATTATTCTGAACAATTTAATATAATTACTCATATAATGGGAGAAAAATATTCCAATTCTTTCCATTGGACTGTTTCCTTCTAGGCTGAATTTCCACAAGACAATTTTAAATAACTATGAAACCAAAGACATGTACCATCTCAGACAAATACGAAGGTTATCTCCAGGTCAAACACAAATACAAGCACAGAAAGCAGCTGTTAGATATATTTAAACAATATAATCTGTCGTGGTGAGTTCATCAAAATGGCATCAGAAAACAAAGGAAATTACAAAGAATAATGTAACTAAGCTAAGAAAACTTCCTCCATTCTTCATTTCTCAAAAACTTTTGCATATGGTTAAAAAATTAAGGTTACAAATAAGAAAATCTGGAATACTTGTTCTATAGGTACACAAAGTACTGTGAAAGTACTCATTTATAGCATATTTTATATGAAATACTACTTTAGATGGGAAGTGTAAACTTGACTCTCTAAGCAATCTAACACATTCTTTCTTTTGAAATACTGGGAAATAAGGAATCATAATCTAACTTCTTTTGGTCATCTTAAAATAGGCTCAATTTGTTAAATTCTTCACTCATGAGAATAATCTCTCAGTAACTAGCAGAAACTGCTAACATGACAGATGACCAGTTAGATAAGATTTGCAAGTTGCTCCAAAATACAACTTGACCTTAAGATACTGATGACCTTGAAAACATGTTGTTAAATTCAATGCAAGGACTGCACACTCTTCATCCTAGGGGAAAAACAGAAAAGGAAAGAAGATTGTTTGGGGGGGTTTTCTCAAAGGTGTGAAAAAGTTCACTGCATTCATATTTAGTTGGATTAAATAACAAATCTAATCATTTTTCTACAGCTTGTGGACTTGACTGTCACATTTCAAACAGTGCTCAGATGAACAAATGAACAAAACCAAGCTACTTTATTCTTAATGGTATCTTCTGACAAGGGAATAGCCAAAGACTGGCTCAAAGCAAGGACAGTAGCTCCTTCTCAACCACATGATTTGCACAGATTTTGCAAGGCTGCATCTTTTCCCCATGTTTGTACAAGGGTTTTTCAGAGCATCTCTACTCTCTCTGGATTTCAAGGTTGCTCCCACTCTTCTAGGTTGGCTCTGAAAGGATGTGCACGGGCTGCATTAATTAATGATTTGTCTATAACCTAGGATAGGTGTTTTGCAAAGGGCTGTAGGAATGACAAGAGGCACTGGAACAGCTGAGCAGACATGTCTAATGAGTGAGAGCATGGAGGGAATAGATCTGCCAGAAAACATCAGTGAGAAAGCAGGGGGCAGGTGCTAATAATGTTCATGATATGCTCAGCAAATCTGAGCTTGTTCCAGAACTCTTGAAGGTTGTCTTGTTAGTTTACAAACTTCTCACTTCCACTGGTTATTTGTCTCCCTTTATCCTCTCTTTCACAGCAAGGCATCTACCTCTGATGCCAAACTACACTGCAGTCGAGAGAGAGAAAGAGGAGAGAGTCACAGGAGCAAGGAATGTTTTCAGTGGGGACAAGGAAAAGGGAGAGTAAGAACCTGATGTTCTTTCTAGGTAATACAAAGTTCGCTCAGATATTGCTTCTGTTCCTATAGAGAGGCCAATGATATTGTTTCAAGATTAACAACTCTATCCACTCTCACAGATGTTTTAAACTATACATTGGATGGATACCTGTGTGTCATGGCCTTTGCTGGATTTCCGTCACCATAAGACTGATTGTGAAAACCTGAAGGAACAAGTTCAAATGTAGCTTGTCATTTTGTTTTCATTATGATTCATATATTTATTCTCACAGGAACTGATCTGGGTTATTGTTTCATTCAGAATAGATAAGGGTTGTGTTTTGGCTTTTTTTAATAGGCGAAATACTGTCTCAAAATGCTCTATTAAACAGAGTCCAGAAAAGTGGTCAAAGGAAACATAACATTTAAAAAGGACACAAAGTTTTGTCTCTACATCATTATTAAATGCAAAACAAACAAAAAAACCTCATTATTTTCCCATTTTCATCCATTGTAGAGCAAATAAGAGTAAGTCATTCTAATTCCCAACGTACAGCTACGTATATATAAAAATGCAATCCATGCAGAATAATGCATTCTACATGCCAGAAAGCTCTCCTTGAAGCTGGGAAGAGAGCACTCTTCACGATGGTTAGCTACACTGTCCATTTTTTATAATAGATACTATTATCACTGCAATCATTGTTTTCAATAACAAAATACATTTTAATAACATCATGCCTCTTTTGGACACACTGACACTGCTTAGTATCTCTAACAGTAATACTTAGCAATGTACATTTCTATTTTACAGAGATGTATGCAGTAAATATTTTCAGTATTTCACTATGACATTATAAGATTATTTGTCATTTGCCTTGACATTTTGTATAACCCATATTGTCACAGATTATGGACAGATCTTAATTTTAATATTCTCTTCACCTTTAAGAAAATTTCATCTCTTGGTTTTAACAGGCTAGTGCTTAAGAAATAACTTTACTACAGAAAGTAAGCATTTTAAGAATACAAAGGTCCTTACTAGTAATGCTGTTACTGTTACATTAAAAATCTTACATCTGACAAGCAGATGATGACTTCTGATAAGTCTTTAAGAATGTAGTAATTACAGCAGTGAGACAGACTGACCTACTACAGTGACCCTACCTCTGACACTGACTTATACCATCTGCCTTAGAGGGAAGTTTTGGGAACCCTGGTCAGCTGGTAGAGATAGATTTATCCACTGACTAATGTGGACCACATTCTCCCAAAACCAAATTATGGTAGAATCCATGAACTATGAGGTTTATGTACAATAAACATAGTGATCACATATTACATTTCTGATATTCTTGGTAAGTGCACTTTTTCTGAATCTCCACAAACTGTTCATCAGGAAAAAAAACTTGTGATAAAAAGTTCAACATTTAAATCAAACACTGTGTCCAAAAAGTTTTTTAGTCAGTTTTCAGTATTCCACTACTTTCATTTACTATGCAGACCCAGTCTCTCCTACTATAAGGTGTAGGGGAATTCCCAGACTGCCATCTCTGGAGCCTTTTTACATGTTTTTGTCACATGTTTTGCATTTGTTAAATGGAAAATATGAATAATGAAAATGAGTTCAGACTACATGAACCACAACACTGATTATTTAATTGATTCACCTTGAGTGGGCTGGTTATGAGTTTTTCAGTGGAGAAGAAACTTGAACTAGCATTATACAAATGTTTACACAGGGAACTACAGTTAGACTACAAAGTTAAGCCTGCTCCTTTTTAGTATCAGGCTTCCAAATCTGAAAATGTAGTTAACTGACAATTGCTTTTAGACAACGGAGAAAATCTGTCATAGGAATTACTGTGTTTACAAAGAACTAGGAAGGGAGGTTGGTTGTTTGTGTGGGTTTGGGGAGAGGTGTTTTTGGCAATGCTCAGACTGAGCCTTCTCTCTGCTTGACTCCTTTCAGACTTTTTAGTTCTAAACTAGTCAATCCACTCCTGCGCTCCTCACTGTGAACCCCACAGCCTTTGTTTGCTCTGATCTCATTAACTTCTACAATGCCTTACTTTCAGGACTTGAAGATTTTGGAATATTCTGACTCCATATGTGTATCTGAGCGTACCTCAAATCATAATAATATACTCAGGGTACTTCTGCAAGGAGGCAAGTGCTACTGTCCCATTTGCAGAGGTGGGGAACTCACAAGTAGGGCTGTGCTGCAATCACTGCAATGCCAGCACTGTGTGCCTACTTGCCAAAGAGTGTTTTTAACTAGTTACCTCATGTACTGACAGCAAGGTAAATATAGGTGTGGCACCTAGAACTTGGCATAGGATGGAAAATTCTCCCAGGAAGCAGAGACAGTAACCAGCCACACAAGTTGCCCTTGCAGTAGGTAATTAAAGATAGTTGAGGTGTATGAGTCCATTGTCTATAAAGCTGAGCATATCTAGCTCTCAGACAGACATCTGCATTTAGTCAAGTGAATCCTACCTCAGTTTCCCAGTGAAAACACACTTCACTTGAGATGTTCTCTTCTACAGAATCAAGATCTAATGCTTCTTATGTTATCACGCATACTTACCACAGTAGGTATCACAGATTTGCAGTGGCACTGAATAATCTACATCTGTTCTCCAGCCCTTTTAAAAGAAAGAATTGAGGCTTATTCCCCCTTCAGCAGAACTGTTACTAAGCACTTGTGCTGACAAAATGAGATTGCTTTATTAGTTTACTCAAGTAACTGCATTTTTAATCTGGTTTTAAGTAAACACGCATGGATATTGCTGGTCTAGTGTATATTAAGAGAGTTGCAATCACTTTTATGTCTGTAAATGAAAGAACTAATCTTTTTTTTTTTTTTTAAGGGGGGAGAACTGTATGCTAACAGATGTCTGATTTACAAAATAAATAATTTATGGAAGAAAATATCAGTCTTACTACCAAATTTGATTTCTCACTAGGGAAAGAAGAACAACATCTCTCATTACTCAGAAGGCTCTTGCCAGTCTCCCTTTCATCTTGCCTCTTTCTTCTTAGCAAAAGAAAGTGAAGCTGACAAGGGCCTTCCAGGGCAGCTGCTGGAACCTCGCAGCTCCAGCTGTCAGTCTCTTTTCTCCTGGTGTCTGCTGAGAACCAGAACTCCAGAGAGGAATAAACCTATCAGCTTCATGCTCATCTTCTATTAATGTTTTCTGACTAAAGTTCAGCTATAGAAATAGTGTGCAAAAATGTCAGAAATAATTTGCTCAGCTCTGCTTTCAGGAGTGCTAATTCTAGCACACCATGCACTAGCTGTGCTGTTTGCTATATGCCTCACCTTTTCGAGTTAATGTCAATTTTTGAAAAATTCATCTATGGTTTACTTGGATCTTTTGGTAGCTTGGAATTTTTTATTACAAAGAAACATATAAAGAGAGAATTAGCAATATCCTGATGATATCCCTTTATCTGCCACTGACAAAGGAGCAAGACCATGGAGAGCAACTTCTCTGTTAATGTCATCTCAATGAGAGGTGGTGGCAGCACATCAAGCTATAAATAATGCTCTTTGCCAACTCCATTTGCACAGTAATCAGATTTGGCTGGAAGGAGAAAGCAGAGAGAGTACCTGCTGGTTTTCTTTTCTTTTCTTTTCTTTTCTTTTCTTTTCTTTTTTAGATTTGTTTATTTGTTTATTTTGTACAGAGTACCTGGAAAAATCAAAACACTTACCTGAATACAAATTGTTGACCCATACATTTCCTGTGGCATAGTTATTGATACAGAATCTCCCTAATGAAGAAAAAAAGAAATTGAAAAATACAATTTTCCATACCATGAAAATATATTGTGTCTCTCCAGCTATTTGCTTTGTTTGCCAATAATGCTACATGTTCTACTGTGACACAAAAATTAATGAAATGTTATTTATTTTCAGACATAGCCCCAGATCTCAGTGACCATAACCAGCTAGTGTAGTTTTGCCAAGCACAGTGTGGGAGCACAGGGAGAAAGCCAATGTTCCTACATTTCATGGAGCATCATAAGGTGGACACCTCCCTGCCGCGACTGCTCATGCCATGTTCACTTCACACCATCTTCACTTCTTTTCTCTGGTGTACGAGTTAAAGGAATGACCCTTTCTTTATAGTTCTGTACTTCCCGTCCCATTGTATGCAGAGAACAAGTTGAGCCTTAGGGTAAAAGTGTCCTAAATTAACTGGTCTGACACTTCATATTTGATTGATTATGGTTTGTCCTCAAAATAATGTTAGTTACTCCACCAATAGTTATGAATCCTACACTACTCTCTTCAGTGTGGCAAACTCCTGAAATAATTGGGGAGAAATTAGGTGAATATGTTCTTTTTTGAGCATGACTGAAAAAGGATTACTAGATAGAGAATGAACATTGGTTTCTGGGAACACAGAGATAGGTCTTGATGAAAACTTTGTATATACTGCTCATGGTGTTGAGATAGAAACAGTATGCAATTTATGTGGGGTCCCTTTCTGTCATGGTAGCAGAGGACATAACAGCTTTGTGCCAGAGGGAAGAAAACAGTATTTTTAAATCACAGAATCAAAGAATATGATGAGCTGGAAGGGACATCAGTGCCCTTCATGAAATACACAATTCAATACCTAACTGTGATTTATTGGTGCTCCATCATTACCCCCTCACTTAGCAATTCACATAGGGAAGTATAAACTCCACAGATTTAATGTGAAATAAGACAGTTGAAGGAAAGTGCTGCTATATGTTCCCTGAACATAGTGTTGACAACTCTTTTACTGTCCAGATCACCATCTCTACCAGTAATACATAATTTCCCAAGATACCTTTTCCCATTAGGACAGACTCTTGATATCACCACTGATGCCCTCTCTGGTCTGTGTTGATTAGGATAATTGATTTTTCCCAGGCCTTTCCCCATGATTATTCAGTTCTGGGATCTCCTAGAGGAGCAAGTTATCATCTTCCACTTTAGCATGTCCTAAGCTTGAATAGCAAAGCTGAGTTGGAAAACTCTCTTTTAACATCTGCTCTGTTACATTCAGCACTGGAGGTGCAATAAAGACCTAAACTGATTCATTAGAAAATAAATTCACCATTCAGTGTCCAACTCTTCGAGTCTAAGAAGTCTTTATTCACAGATGCCTTGTTCTCAGCTAACCCCTGGTATGTGCACCCTGTTCACTAAAAGCATCAGAAGCACTTGAAAAAGGCACAGTTGCAGTGTGTCCCTGCATATAGTGGCAAAGAAATACAGCTGGAATATATCTTAAAGAGAGGACAGGTGTAGGAGCTATGGCATGCTTGTGTCTTCTAAAGCACATCCCCGCACAGTGGAGTGAAGTCAATGGGCACAGTCAGGAGGAACAACTGAAATCACAACATCTGGATTTCTCAAATTTCTCAAAATCCATCATATGACATCTCATATACCTGGTCAGGGGAGCAGACAGCAGGAGCACACATTTAGGGGTGGACATAAGACTGCTGAGGAGCTGGCTGCTGAACCAGCAGGATGTCTTTCAGCATGGTGGCCCTAGTAGCTACTAGGATCTATCCTGCTAATATTTTCCTATTTGAAAAATAATGCTATGGTTGCTCTTCTGCTCTTTGACCTCACTTTCCAGATGTGTCTCTTAGTAGATCACAGGTCAGGCCAACAAGGTAACTGGCAGGCAGGGTTGAAGGCCAAGGGCAAGCCACAGTGCTGCACTGAAAATGTGTGAGATATAGGTTTAGTTGCAAGAGAGGAATGAGGCTCTCATTTCATGACTGGCTGCTGCCTTAATCAGAAATCTCACCCTCCCATAATCTCTTCCCGCTCTGTCCCAGCTGTTGGAAGAACCAGTGTAGTCACACAGTCAGTTGGCTAAAAAAGATAATTTGGCTGAAAACTTAGCTTTTTTGTGTGTTGGGTTTGTTTTGGCAGCTGTGAGATTTGGAGTGGCTCAAGTTCATCACAGACTGATGCCTCAAGTCTTACATTTCATGATGTGACATTTGCCAGGTCAGCTGTATCAGTGACCCATACATGAAATACTAAACAGTAACATTTGCTATATGCAAAATACAAATACCACACTACAAAAATGACATTAAAGGAATATGAAGGTTCCACTTAATAGTCACATCCTTTGATGTGACTCATTTAACTCCAGGATCTTTATTTCTTGTTTCAGTGTGAGATGAGAATTAGAACTACATGCTTCTAAAATGTTCCAGTAATTGTTCCAATATGTACATGCGTGGGTTTATTAATGCATTCAAGTTACAGAATGATAAATGGAATAATAAATGAATGCAGTTAGATATGTTAAGAAGTCTTACAATGTTTAAGAAATAATATATACAAACCACAGAGACTGAATGGTGCATCCCAAGAGATTCACATGAGGCCATCTGCGTCCTGTTACACACAAGCACTGAGAACTGTGCTTTGGTTTGGGATGTGAAGAAAACTTGTATTTGCTCTGCAACTGCAGCAGTTCTCATTTTCCAAGCTGATATTAGGGGAAAAGACTTGCTTTTAGATATACAAGGACCGTATATTATATTCTAAATTTTTACATCTATAATAAAAGCCTTTTGTATTAGTTAAGTGCTATCAAATGATATGCAGGTAATTATTTTGATTCCCACAAGTTACTTTTTATACTGATAAACACTTGATCTACTGGGCATACTTAGAAGTAGCAAGCTTTCAAATCTCTGACTTAATTTACAACTTACAGTGTTATGAACACATCTCAACAGAGAAGGCTCACATCTAGTGACTGATTAAAATACTTTCCACAATATAATATTATGTAATTTTTAAAATATATGTTTACCTGGAAATTCTCCATGAGCAAATGGACATTTAATCCAAGTTCCTTTTTTGGTTGTAAACTGAAATCAGAGAAATCTGTTAGGAAAACCAAATTTTCCATTTCAATCTGTGGCAAAATATTCAACTAGTGATGATCAGGGCATTCCAGAAAGTTGCAGAAGATTAATTCACAACTTTCCTGCCCTATGATATCTTCTAACCCTTGACTTAAATTAGGTCCCCTAATTCTTCAGGTATTGATAGACACATATATTTTACAGAAACTTCTAGTTCCACCAACTTAAAAGTAATCTAAAAGAAAACAATAATATGCCTGTATTAACCTTATGTGGCATTTTTTTCTCAATTAGAATTGTAAAAGATACTCCAGTAAATGTACTGATAATTTTGCGTTGATAATTTTATTTTCAAATATTTAATATGGAAAACTTTATACATTAATTTGAGTGCACTCTTCAGAATTTGCACTGACCAAGAACATTTTTTTCCTGCTTTTCTTAAGCAGAAAAAACAGAGGGCACAATCTGGCCTCTGTCCTATCTATCCTTGCTGCTGCACTTCCAAACACTCACCTTCTAATCTAATCTTTCACATTTCCTTCATTCTTAGTTGCCATTCGTGAGAGCTACGAAGCAAAATATTGATCCTAAAGGACATCAACAGTTTTGGTTTTTTTTCAGAGCTGACATAAAGAAGGCAGTTAATATATGTTTTACAAAGAAATCCCTTTACCTTCATGCAAAGTCTCGGGTGAGTGTCCACACGAGAATATTTAACCTGCTTGAAGACAGAGCACTCCGCATTAGCTAGTTTCATTAACTAGTTTCACAAAAGTAATTATTCAAAATTTTCATGGTTTGATTACTGTGAATGGAACTGGTTTGTTTACTTTATAAACATCCCAGGAAATTAATCACATAAAATAGTTAGAAACAACCATTACTACGGATTAGTGAATCATTTCCTTTTTATCTGTAACATGTACCGTTTTTTACAATCAACCTGACCCATTAGAGCTCAATTAATTGATTCCATGGGGGCTCCTGTGCAAAATTCTTATTACACAGTCATTTTATTTTAGTCCCTTATTTGCCACTCATCAACAACTCAGCAGAACATTTAAACATACACTCAGAAATGTTCCACCATCAGTTCAGAAATCTTTCCATTTTCCATATCCTTATTCCAGAACAGTTAAATGAATTTAGATATCCACTTAAGCCATCCACAAAATGTTGTTTTCATGATTAACAACTCTTTATCCACCAAGGGTTTCACCATAAAAAGCCTTGTCTCATTTAAACAATTACTACATATATAAGTGATTCTCCTTAAATAAACACTGTTGCTTAAGTGACTGAGCACAACACACAGCATCATGGCCAAATGCTTCTTTCCTCTAACTTTTTTTGAGAACATAATATATGTCCTGAGGCACATCTATAACAGGGTCACAGAAGATAATTCTGTAGGAGTCCACTCAGACCTGGAGACAGCATAGTCATCAACAGAGAAAGGCCCACCCTCATTAGAGAGAGGAGTGATGCAGCTTTGGGGCCTAAGTCAGTACATGTGCACAGTATTGGAGTGTGTGGCCGTGCGCGGATTGACTGGGGGAGCTGGCCCTAGCTGAGGAATCTGCAACAGTCTCCAGGACACTACAGAGATTGTTTTCAGGGCTACAGTACAATAAATGGACAAAATTCAATATCAAAACTTTTTAGAATTAATTTAAAAAAAGGGGAATTCATTCTGTATGTGAATCTTGATGATCCTTGTGGGTCCCTCACAACTCAGGATAATCTACTATTCTATGATTAATATTAATATTCATCCATTAAATGCAATGAGTAAATACAGAAAAACACTCATTCTCTGTAATAAACTAACCTTGGATTCTGATCTGGGTTACAGATATAACCATTACCAGCCAAACCTCATTTTTTTTCTTTTTTTCTCTTTCTGTCCTGCAAGCAATGAGTTGTGCTTGCTGTCAGCAGATGACTAATCCCCCAGGGATCACTCAGATGTGTAAAATTCAATTAATTTGTTTTTTCAAGATCAAAGCTTTGCTGAAACTCATAAAATGGTGAATCTGAACAATCACTGAACACTTGGCCAGGAGTTCCTAATTAAAAAAGCATTCAACAGTCTTGAGTCTGCCCCAGCCCCCTCCCCAGTTATGTCATCATAGTAATAATAATCCAAAAGTTTCAAAAATTAAGAACTTGTATTTGATTTTATTTGCCTTTTCAGTTGTTACTTCAAGTTTACTGCCTTCTCTCCACAATCAGGAAAGCTTGAAAGCTACTTTTCAAGATGAAAGCCAGAATTCTAATGAACATCATAAACCCAGAACATTCAGTATCATGAGACTTCAGACTGAAGTATTAAACCATTCAAGACACATGCATTTGAAAACCCTTTTCAACTTGAGAGAAGAAGTGCTGGAAGAACTAAGGGACATAATATTTCAGCACCCACAATTTCCAGACATTGGGCCAGCTTTAGGAAGGCACTTAAAACAGACCTTAGGTACAAAATAGTTGTGCCCTACCAAAGTACTGTTATGTGTCCAGAAAGATTTAAAAGAGATTTAGCTTCATCTAATTTACATTTTAGGTGTCTAAATATTAAATATTCAAATCTAGTCTAATCACAATAGACTTTGTGGTAGTAAAAAGAAAGAGGTACCTTCAGAGCGAAATCTCTCCATCCTATTATGCCTATCTACAGATGAGAAGAGTTGTTCTCCCAATGTGTTTGTCTCCCTTAAACGGAATCTGACATGAGTAGACCTATCTTTTAGAGTGCAAAGGCAGTATAGATGAATTATGTCTCTACAATAAATGAAAAGCAGATCCTATTTACCCCAAAGAATTTAGCAAACATTACTAGCTGCCCAGTCATCTCCACTTTTATTTCTTAATAGTGAGTCAGTGACCATTTTGAATAAATCATGTGATTAGCATACAAGAACAGACTGTGACTATGAATAAAGTATCAGAGAAGAAGAGAGGAATTTGCAACTGTTCTTACTCCAAAATCTATCTCTTCACATTATGCCTTTGGTGATGGCATTCAGTCTCACAGTTTGAATTAGTCTGCATAGCTCTTACTTTCTCGGTAGAATTTTTGAAAGAGTTTTCTATATCTTCACAGTCGTGGTTCAACTTTGTGAATCTGCATAGGTTAACCATGACAAGCACAGGACAGGCTGGCTCCCAAGCTAGGGTTTGTGTCGATGGGTTATAAACAATATTATCCCATAGCGTCTTCGTATCTGTGCACAAAGAGGGGAACGTTATTCAAGATGTATAGACATGAATCAAAACTGTTCATAAGTCTGATACCTCTACATGTGCTTTAAACCAAAAGGTTGGACTTAACACAATAAAACACTTTCTCAGGTTATACTTTTTTCTATTTATCTGGTAAAACTTTCACTTTATACATATGTAATATGACTACTTTTTCAGCTGTCATCTCAGACCAAATTCTGAGACTGCTGGAACATTTTGTGTGAATAATTTCCCACTAAGCATGGGAACTCCCACATGCAGTTAACTGTCTTTTTCACCTCCCTGCTCTATCCTTTAATTTAGGTGTCAGACACCTTCTTCAAATGTCTCCTTGAAGCCTCTTCTCATATCAGCGTTTCACAGCTGACCTCAGTGGCTTTTCTTTCTTCTGGCCAGCTTGTGAATGACTTAGAAAATGTGGAAAATGACTAGAAAGTTACTTGGTGTTTACATTGGCATAAACTTGGTGAACTATTTGGTCTCAAAGTACGTTATTTAGTCCAACCACAGCAAAATAAACCAATATGATGATTTCCTTGAAGTTTTGCAATATATGATTTTCACTTTAGATTAATTTTAAATTGTGGCATACTACTGGAGCTGTTGAAAATTACTTCTGTAAAGACTAATCACACAGTACTTGCCATTTGCAAAGGGGCAAAGTTGTATCCTCCTTGCATCTGGAATAGCCAGCCAACCCTGCAATCCAAAAAGTGGCCATTAGTTAGAGATTCTCAGACACATTTTTAACATTTGAGGCAGAATGTGACAGAAAACCTTTCCACCAAAGACAAGGATGCTATGTTTGTTAGAAAGCTTTGAAAGTAGTTTCTTAAAGAAATTTTGCACTAAATTTTTATTGTTCAACATTGAACTAAGGTGATCCCTTCTAACACTACATTCCTACTATTTCTGTGCCTATATTTAGGCCAGTTTCATTTAGAAAGTCTTCCAGTTTGATTTTCATTAAGTTTCTTTAAGTTTCATTACTTTCTAGGGGTATCAAAAGACATTCAATAATAATAATATTATATCTTCTGGCTTTTGTAATGATAAAGGATACATCCTTAAAATCTGAGGAGTAACACTTAACCCAATCTGCAGGTATATGTTCATGGCTGCTACTATACCCTAATTATTTCAATTCATGTGCAGATGTTTCTGTTACTTACAGTTTCATCTGTTTGCTCAGCAATCCTATTGTGGAATTCTCTGTATATACACTGAGAGGAATAATACCTTTCTAGTGACCTCATATCTTCAGAGTGGAATGAAAAAAATCCCTAGTCTTGGAAGAGACTTTGTGGTTCAGCTCATATATTTAGGTATGTGATTTTAGGTCCCTACAATGTACATATCTGAGTGTGACTAAAGTTCACAAACTACTATTACAGTAAATATAAAAATCTAGCCAATGCAGACAGTGGAATCTACACTGCAGTTCAGCACATCCCAAAAGAGTCACCTATATTTGGTCAGTTAAGCACCTGACTGCACTAACTAGATCTCCACTGACTTTAAGAATTTAGATACCTAATCTGAATGCTGAAACCTGTCTTCGAACATCTACATTTAGATATCTTAATCCACAAGGTAAATCCTACCCCAAAATTCACTGAGGAACTAGGTTCACATAGTATCTTTCTATCTTATCAAGATCATTTTAAACTGGTTTGTTAATTTTATTCCTTTGTATATAGGATATTCAAAAATGTCACTTCTCAGGTTATCAGAAAAAAATCTGTAACTGTTCTAAATATATTCACATAATGAAGTTTATCTCCCTTCATCCTTGGAGCAAGAATGGCTTTAGCTTAAAAATTCTTATTTTTCCTTGTAAGCAACATTTACTAGGCTAATGGAAACATGTTCTTTGAATCTCCTTTGTAAGACAGTCTCTTCAGTCCCCAACCATTCCAGATTTTTTATGTACATCCTCCATTTGAATTAATCTCTCTTGGATATGGATACAAGAATTGCTTACAGTATTTCAAAGAAGACCTTGCCCATGGTTTCCTGTTAGCTCAGAATAATCTAATTCACTAGACTTTTGTTCATGTTTACATCATGGGAGTATGTTAGTTTAATCATCCTGTGATGAACCATTACACCCACATCTTTTTTCCTCCACTGTTATTTCTAAATGAGGACTCACATTTTACAGCTAGAATTCTTTTTATTAGAGCAGTGCATGAACTTGGACTTCATACTTGACACTTCATTTTCCTTTGGTTATGTCACATGTGAAGATTCCACAATTACCCTGACCCTGTGGTCCATTTTGACTACACCTCCAAAGTGTAACCTCATTACATGTTCCCACCCATTTGTGCCCATGTCGTTGATGAAAACATTTATATTAGAATGGCTATTAGTGTGATCCTTAAATAATCTCCCTACCAGCACAGTCATATTCAAGAGGAGTTGTTGAGTTAGCCCTGCAGCCAGGTATTATCTACCAAACTTATCTTGTTCTCGCTCTCAGCTTCCTCAGTTTCTCTTTTAGTTTTTTGTGCAATACTATATCAAATGATATGCTGATATTCAGTCAGATTAAATTTTCTTTTTTTCATTACTTATAAAAAATCAGTCAAAATAGTCTTACACAACACATTCCATAAATTAATGTAAATTGTATCCCATTTTTTTTTTCTGATCACCATTTTAGTTAGCATTTCCTAAAAAATCACTTCTACATTTTCAAAATCATAAGCTGAAACAAGCCTGTCAAAAACTTGGGTTGAGAGACTTTTCCTCATTTCTTAGCACAAATCCCTGATAAAATTTCTTTAATCAGAAATGCAAGTATGTACCAAATTCCAGACTGTATTACCTCAATGCAAAGACATGGGAGTAGCTGAGAATATTTCAGAGAAACTGATTTAAAAGATTCCTTTCCTTTTATCTGAAATGAAAAAGATGGTCATGAATCCAGGACTGTAAATTACGTTTAATAAAGTTAAATGATATAGATGTAGAAGGCCATTTCCTATAACTATGACCTTAATGAGCATTGGCACCTACAAGTCACCCTCCCAACAGTTCAACAAACTGCTATGAGCTTTAACTCACCACAGCAAATGCCCCTGCATCTTCACAGGTAAACCATTTGTAGCACAGGCGAACATAATAATCTTGTTCTCGGGGAAAGTTGGATACATTCACTGTTATAAGTTTCCTTGCCCTGTCTACATTATAATCAAACTTTTCAGCTGAAAAATAAAATTCAAGCATGAAATTATCACATCTGTTTCTTTATTAATTTATTGTTTCTATTTTTTATTTATTTATAAAAAGTACAAAATGTATTTCATAACTTCATGGAGATGAAATTCAACATCTATAAATTCTTACCTAGGATGTTTGAAATTATTATTTTTATATCCTGATATTCCTCAAGTTATTCTTATTTTATAAGATACAATAATTTTCCTTCAATATTACTTAGTTTTAAAATAGCACTTGCAATACTGACAGGCCAAGACACCTACGTATTTTACTTCAAATTTAATAATTGTAATCTTACAAATACATGAAATATACACACTAATACTACTATAAAAGCTGATTAACCAAAGATTGTAATTCCATTACATAGAAAATATGTGCAACTGTGTTAGACAAATGCATTATGTGGGGGGATATTTTATTTTTTTTATATTCATGGGTATGCCAAAATCAGGATAGCAGTTTGGCAAATTAATTTCAATCTATTTATGAGATATTTCTATAGACAAAACATAAAACCAGCAATCCAAAGTACACAGAAAGGACACAAATCTATTTCCAAAAGTTTAAGTAGTAAATAGGTTGTAAATATCTTTATCTGCTACCTAGCATCTCCAAGTCAACACAGAGAAAATAATTTTCCAGGACATGACCTATCAACTACATGGTAATTAGAAGTAGTGATAGTTGGAAATACATTTTTCGCCTGCTTATTCATGTGTGAAAAAATATCATGGTGTAGGTCATCAGAAATATCTCACAGCTCTAAGTTGTATAGAATCAGCTCACCCAAACAAGCTGGAATATATTTTCCCACATCACTGTTTCTGCAATCTGCAAAATAAAAGCCAGAATTTTATTAAGTGCTGCTTAATTCATATAACTCTGTAAATAAACTCTCAAATTATCCAACAGCTTCTCATTAGGAAACTTATCTCTTATCCCCCTTTTTAAAGGCAGATTTACATCTGCTTCTAGATAAACAGCAAAAAAGAAAAGTACTCTTCCCACACACAGAGATTGTATCACAATATGCCTTAAGGAACTATCTCTCCAGTGTGGAGTTTCTACTGGAATGTTTAAGGCATCAGTCTAAGATATAACACTGCACCTCTTCACCTAGTACCTTACAACTGTGCATTTTTGCCATTCTGATTCCAAGCTTAGAAAGAAACACCTTATCTAGCTCGCAGGGAACTTACCAGAATTAGAATCCAGGCAACGCTTTCAGAACTAACATCTGATATTTGTGTCTCCAAAACTTAACTCTATTTAAGAACACTAAATCAGCTTTTGTTGTGCTGCCTACTGTTTTCACCTCTCCTTGCATAACTCAGTATTAGAGCAAGTCCTTTGCTCTCATTTCCCCACAAAATGCTTTTTCACAGAGAAATATTTCCTATTTTCATTTGTTGACTCACCATTGTAAAATGTCTCAAAACTGGGCTGTATAAAACTTTATTTTCCCTCCTCTTTATTCACAAAGTACAAATATGCTTCAATAGTGAACCAGGATTTATCAAGAAAATGAAAGGCTTTTCAAGCACAAAAAGGCTTTACTTCAATGAAAGTGTGAAACTGTATGTAAGGGATGACATTTGACCAAGGGGCAAGGGCAAGAGTCCCCCCACTCGTGTGCTCTGGAGATGGGAAAGTGGGACAAACCCAGGCACTGGATCGAACAAGGGTTCTCATGTCATTTTTTGCACTTATGTCCACTGGCCACACTGTATCTTGGTTGGACCACAGTGCTGAATATATTTTTGTATGCACATGGCATAATTTGTAAAAAATTTGTAGGCACTTTACCCCAAAAACATGGAAATTTGCTACCTTATCATTTCCAGTAATGTGCCAACAGGCAATAGAACAACTAGTTAATGAAAGTAGAAGTCAATTTCTATAGGTTTTCCTATTAAGCTTTCCTTGTCCTCTGAAACCACCCATGGCCTAACCATGCAGAGAAGCGGAGGCTCCACCTTAGGATAGAGAGCACACAGGGCCGAACCCAAGGGCAGAGAAAGAGCGTGTGCCCATCACAAGGAGGCCAGCTGAGACAAATGCATAGCGTTGTTCAGTTTTCCATATACTTTTAGATATAAACTCTGTGTTTCATAGTAAATTAAGACCTTTCCTTGCACACAAAAAGAAAATCACTGAAATGTAGACTAAGACTGGTCCTGGCGTACCTGTTCTACCATCAGTTATGTCAGTGTATCCCAGAACCGTGGTTTTGCCTTTGTGTTTTTTGGTTCGTTTCGTTTTTTTCTTTGACAAGATGTTTCTTGAAAAACATCTGGTTTAAGATGTTTTCCTACCTTCAACATAGTATTCCTGACTCAGCTTGACTTCACAGTAATTTGGTACAGTTTTCATGGTCACATAGATGTGTTGTGCTACATTGACTTCAACACAATTGAATTGTACCTGTACCTGTTTAAAACATTTATAAAATCATGCATGACTTCCAGATACATAAAAACCATTGGTTAACAAGAGTTAAGCAAGCAATATTCTTTCTTCAGATTATTCATATTTACAAGCAGCATTAAGCAGTCTCAGATATTGTAGCATTAAGAATGCAAAAGAAGCAGATACAGTTCAACAGAAGGATTTCAGAGTATCATCATTTCTAATCCAAGATGTTGCTATCTTCTTCACTTTTAGAAATCAAAATATCTACAAGATATCAAATGATACTAAAAGCATAGAAATACAGGTATTTAATGCTAACTGAACTTCAAAAGCAAAAAAATCTTTCATACTACCAAAAGCCCCAGCCTAGGCATTTTACAAGCACAAACACTTGCAGAATGGGGAAAAAATGTCTGTTTAAATATTTAATGACAACTTCAGCAAATTTATTCACTCCAATAACAGTTTGTGAGACAGAAAGTAATTTAGGAGACAAAAGTTGAGGTCCAGTTATAGCAGGTCATTCCCTCACTGACAGCAGTAACTATTAAATTCTATATAGATTTTCATGTTGGATATACTCTAAAATTAGGCTTTGCATAGCCAGCTTCCTTTGCCAAAAGGAAGAAGTACAAAAATTGGTATGGAATTTAATTTATAGGATAAAAAAGGTCATTTTGTTTTGGAGTTTCATTTGACAATGCTGAAGTACACAGTTCATTGCATTTTTCCACAAAGTCAATAAGAGAAGAAAATAAGAGAGATACAAAGTATACTTCTTTCCAAAGTCCTGTAAACATTTAAATTAAAAACAACCCCTTAAAAAAAAGTCATCTACCTTCTTTCCATTAAGCATCTTGCTTTTTTTCCTAGTGAATCTCACATTTGTGCACTGAGACTGTTGTGTGTCCAGTGAAAGAGAACATATTTCCAGTCCACGGATATTTTCTGAAATGAGTTAGGAACAGATTTCAAAAATATAATATAAGCATCTCTAAGAAATACAAAAAAAATAAATTAAAATATACCATATTGTAAGCTTTCCTTTGAAGTGAAAGGCACACGTTTTTTATATCTGTTAAAACAGGGACATTATAGATAACACACACATGAGGGTAGGAGCAATGATTTGACACTGGTTGCTTTAAATTAAAGCTTTGATTATGCAAATTTTAAAAATGAACCTATTAGCTCTGAGTGAAGCAACCAGGAAATATCTAAACAGTAACACAAGCATATGAATGGCAGGGTGTTAGTAAAAATAGACTATGCAAAAAAAGTTTGTGTGCTTTCATTTTATTTTAGTGCAGAACTGTAACTTCAGATGTATAAACTGTTTCTCCGTCTGTTGGGCAGTAACCCGTGTCTGAGTTACCAAAGCAGAACAAATTAGTGTGTGTATGTGTGTGTATGCATTCAGAGCAAGAAAGAAAAGGGCATCAGTATGCTTGGGGCACTAGTAGAGGACAAGTTATGTGTATTATATTGGAAGTTAAAATTCATTTGTCACGGCTCAATAGGAAATGATTCCTACCATCCAGACTCAGAGTTCCTTTAATGTTTAAATAAAGAGAGCATGGGCTTCCTTGGACACATTTCATCACTGTTGATATCTTCATGCTTCTCAGTACCATAGAAGATAAAGATGCAGGAGCATCACGGCAGAAGCTGTTAAAAATGCCACCTGCAAATGCAAGCATAAGAACAGAGAAACCTCATTGCACACAGGATATCTGGGTGAGACAAAGAACCACAGGTGGAGCTCCACCTCTCCTGAAATCAGTAGGGGAGCCACCACTTTGCAAAAGCCAATACTTTACCTAAGACTTTCACATGGCTAACTTAGCTAGTTGGCTTCACTAGCAATGCAGGGGGTTGGAAAGAACTACAGTACAGATGAGGTTTGATAATAAATTTCTGGGCTCAGGGAAGTGTTAACCCACAAGAGGCAGCAATCAGACTTCTAACAGTTAAGTTAAGCAGAACACATCTAGACTAATACTGCTTTTAAATAATCAGATCTGCTGGATCATGGCTAAACTAATAGTTTATTTAAACTTTTTTCAAAACCATTACCTGTATATTGCGAGCACTCTCATATCTTTTAGGATTTAATTTTAGGATTTTCTGATGGTCCCAATTGCTGTTAAAATATCACTTTCACGCAAGAGGGCACCATTGCATTCCTAGTCATGGAAAAATCCCTTACACCTACAGGATTTCCTTCTGCTTTAGACCAAAACAGCAAGAGCAGAATTAATATTATCCAGGACTTCTTCAAGGCACAGAACACAGTAATCAGTAGGCACAAAACACAGCTATGTCTCATCTTATTTCCCTATGGAAATTTAGTCATTCCAAAGCCTTAGAACATCAGTTTGCAGAGCCACCACCTTTTTCTGTGTGAAAGAAAAAGGCCCCATCATTTTGCCATATTTCATCTCTTTCTACTTCTCTGACTGCCTTGCACAGAAATCAGTTATTTATTTATGAATTTAGGTTGGTACAGTGGATTTAATCCTCAATGCATTCCTTGGGCTTCTCTACTTCACTTCCATTATTTGTAGTCCCAAAAATTACGAGTTGAAGAAGCTATCATAATAAATAGCCAGGGAATTAGGTTTTTTTCCTTGGCTTTGCAGTATGCAATGCAGCACACATCTTTTTAGCTGTAACTACATCAGAGCAATTTTTTAAAGTGTTTCTTAACCTTCTCACTTCAGTATATAGCATGAAATTTAAAAACCACCCAAGTAAAACAAAGCATTTTACTGCACATTCTTCTTCCCCTGGCGAGAGTCTAGAAGAAGAAAAAAAATTGATTCATATTAATCATACTGCTTAACGTGCTCCTAGAAGGAGTTCAAATAGTACGGCAAAGAGAAAAGTTTGAAACAGCAGTGCCACAATACTGTTCTTGCCATAAAATTCAGGATAACACTCTTAATGAAAATCATCAGGAGAGGGTGCATCCTTCAATGTCTAACCAAGAACTGTAGTCAAGGGTGGATGCCCATTGACTCACAAGGAAGGCACATCCACAGTTCTCACAGAAGAAAGGTAGGCTATGGGGGAGGAGGAGGGACAAAGCTTATCCTTACTTATCCCTCCAACCCATCCAAAGAAGAAAAGAGTGTCCAGTTGCAGCTGAAGCCCATTGTCAAGGATCAGATACTGATACTGCAGGACATGAAGACAGATTGACATAATTGTGGCACCTTGGCTTGAATCTGTCAGGCCTTAAGTGCCCTCACACTTGGTATCAGGAGAAATAAGTCCTGCATGATACATATCAAAAGTCAGAAAAGACAAACACTTCATACCCGAATCTCCACTCCATTATCCTGGTTTTGTGACATTAAGCATATTTTGGAGGGAAGAGGATATGCTGATATGAACCAAGTAGAAGAGAATGGGAAAACAAGGACACTTCACCTGGCCATAGGTCAACTCTCAATTATTCAAAGAAATATTGGCAACTAGAGAAGACAAGTTATGCAAACCAAAGACAAAACACAGATCACTAAAAATATATGAATAAGGCTTTAAGAGCAGTGGACTACATTGACATTTGAAGAATTTATAAACATTTCCACAGAGTTAAGACAGCCCTAAGAAGAACAGTGCACAGCAGCCAGATGTGAATACTATATTCCATGTTCCAAGAAGAGGCCATGTAATAATCCTGAAGGTATCTCAGGATGGAAAGTTATTGTACAACACCCAATCAATCCACCCACAATTAATTGGGAGGTTATTATATTGCAGAACTACCTGATAACTGTTACTAATAATGGGATAGGTGAGGATTAGTTTTAGCTCTGTCTCTTTGTTCAAAAAGATATTTTCTTGACTGAATCATAAGACGTGCAGTTGTACATACCCAGTGGTATGCAGGAGCAACAGTCTCTGCTTAATTCCTTGGTCGTTGGTGTAAATTTCTTGATCCAGGCCTATAATCTTGCCCATTCCTATGTTGTGTAGAAATGATTTAAGGGAAAAGCATTGTACACGTGTGTGTGTGTACATATGTATATGTGTATATATATATGTATGTATATATGTATATGCATATATATATTTATATACAGTCAAAACCAAGAGTTGTTTACAAAGTATTCTTTTTGGATGCATTTGACCATATTATTTGACCCTATTATTTTCTGGGGAGACTGTCATGACTTAATTGAATTTGGTCCATAGTTATTACTACCTGAGGCATGGTATCATCAGATGTCACAAGGTTGGTAATATCTCAGGAGAATTCCAAGTCAACCTAGGTGCATTGCTGACATGGGATCAGCACCCTTAGGTACACAAACACAGATTTAGGGACTACTGTCCTTCTGTCAGCAGAGACACTATTCTCCGTGATCACAGTTTCTATCTTCAAACTGAGAACAAATATGTAATACACTGAATGAAATGAAATTACGTTTCCACTTTCGATTTTTCCCATTCATTTCATGATACATTTTGAGAATTGCAAAAAATTCTGCAAAACTCATTAATAATAATTTAAATGTATCATATCATGCATGAGGATATTAGCTTTGGATCAAAATAAATATGTGATTTAAGAAGACCTGACACAAAATTATTTTCATTGTATAAATCATCACAGCATGAGACTCATTTCTGACTAATTCTTCAGTAAACTTTATCATCTTTTAATCCCCCCTTAAGATATCTTTTTCTGGAACACATCCCATTTTCCTTTTTGCAGAAGTAGTTTTATCTATACCGCAGAAGACATAAAGATACATTTTGCTACACAAACCATCTGCTGAGTAAATCTTGCCTAAATTTTGTGTTTATGAATGATAGCTGTAATTAGCCCTACATGAGAGAGGGATTGTTGCTTAATAAAAGGTTCCTTAATTATGAGCACTCATAAGCCCAGGCATAAAGAAACCAAGGCTTATTATTCATCATGTAGACACTTTCCTTGTATTTTTGCCATCAGCTCAACCACAGGAGATTATTTTTTTTTAATCTGATGATGCAGCAATCAACCCAGAACTGTCATGACAGCAAATCACACCTTATGTACAGCTGGATAACAGAAGCCAGAGCTGAGCAATGAATACGCAATAGAAATTATTAGATGGATAATTTGAAGCCTCAGGCAAGAAGATGAAATTGGAGAGCAGGTTAAAAAAAAAAAAAAAAGTAGAGAAAACCTATTAATAACAAGCCTGGGCCAACACCCAATGGAAAATCCTAACTGTTTTTTTGTCTTATATGTCTTACAAGAATTGTAAGAATCTGAACTACTTATGATACTGACAGTGCTAAATCTATGAGCATATCTAAAGCACACTAGAATTGCTTCACTGGCATATCATTCCATGACTATAAATTACAGTAGTATTTCAAACCTATTTGCATATGATTTATCATAGTATCTGCTGCATCTGTTCATTAGGATTATTCAACACAACTCATAAACAAAGTAGATATGTTCCAAGATAACCACATGGTGCACTTCAGTTAATAAATACCAAAATTTGCTACTTGAAAGTACTTATGGCAATTATGAAATTGATTAAATTTCGACTGACAGCCTCTCTTTCACAATGGATTGCAATGCACAGTAAATTAAAGGGGTTTCACAGTTGTATGTTCAGAAAATATTTCAGACTTTCAGGGATACTGAATAACCTGCTGATATACCGTGCCAAATATATTCTCTAAAAATGTAAGGCCTTTTAAAAATTATCAAAATTTTTGTAGCAATGTCAGGATATACTACAGTGAATTTCAAATACTACAGTAGCTCTTATGTACTACCAATAGTCTAGAAAATCATGAGGAAGAAGGCAGTCAAAGCTATGTTGCCAAATACTACTGGGCTGGCGGTTGCAAATTCTGGGAAATAAAGTCACCTTTTTGTTGCAGCTAAAAGAAATGACTACTGCAAAGGTCCTCTACTATACATCTAAGGTCTTTCAAAGTAATTTTACCTTGAATAATAAATAATAAAAAGAATTTATAATAAATAGAAAAGGAAGTAGGGAAAGGACTATACACCCACTGTTGCACAAGTGAATTAGAATGAAGACAAAAAAATGTTTTTTCACCACCCCTGTAAGGCTGAGTCATCCTACATGTTACTTGTGTTAAAGACAACTGATAAGTCATTTTCAGGTAACACTGAAAAACCTACAACCAGCTGCATGCACATCATCTTGAAGGATAAGGATCTTTAGTTTACAAACCCTTCAATGCCCAAAATCTATATCCAATTAAGAGAGAAACATCTCACTTATGCTTATGTGCTTCATCTGCATGTCCCTGCATTAGGGGTTGGACCAGATGACCTCCAGAGGTCCCTTCCAAACTCAACCAAACTGTGACTGTGACTTGAGCAATTCTTGCAGTCAACAGAGAGGGACAATCCCGCTCACCTCCCTCCCAGCACATAAATCACCTTGTCCTAAAAAGGACGGAATGAATCATCACCTCATGGTACCTATGAGTCTCCACTATCTAGATCTGCATTTGTGTAATATCCAACACAGATTTTAACTCATAACCAACAGATTTACAGGTGTCCTTCCCTTTGAGACCAGGGTTGGAGGGTTTGGTATACTCAGACTATACTGCTCAAGGACATTAAGGCATGCTTCAGCTAGCAGAGCAAGGCTCAACACCCCTGTTTCTTCTTCTACCTTCCACATAGTTTGTGTAACTGTAGCTCAGATGCCTAATCCTAACAAGATTCATTCACAGTCCTTGAACCAGCCACGAAAGGTTCACTCTGCTCAGCAGTAGAAGACTAAAGACTTTTTCAGGTGGAACTTTTAACTGCATCCCTTCCATACACATGTTCTTCCTGTCCACCTCAACACAGGTCTCATAAATGCCATGTATTCAGAATAAGGACTCATGACAACTGACATTCAACTCATGCACCATGCAATAGCATCAGCATCTCACATCCCTGTGGCTCAGCATCACATCTTCTCCCTGTCTATGCTCTCTGCCACATGGATTCAGGAAAGGCACTGTGGAGACAGGCAGTGCTCAGAGTTGTGCCTCCAGCTAGGACTGTCCTCTCAGGGAGAACTATGACTGTCCTCTCAAGGGGGACTGCCTGCAAGGCAGCTGCCTCATACTTCCCTGCAAATGACTGTGTGCACTGGAGAAGTGATTGCTGGAGGCTTCAGAGTTCAGGTAGTGCAAGACCCTGTATTATTATTGTAGGCAATAATAGTACTAATAAGTAGAAGCAATAAAAACATGTAGAATGACTAAAAAAACTCTCTCAATTACCATTTGTGGTAAGGCAAATTATAAAACTAATCATTACTAATCTATTGTTTATCAAAACCTACCGATTTCCAATGCTTCATACAAGAAAACTGGTGGTAAATACCCTGTCATGACAGTGATGTTATGTCACTACAATGGTGGATTTATTATCTTTAATAAATTATTTAAAAAAAAATAATAAAAATGTGAACGGCATATACTCACCGGAAGGTTTGCTTTTACAATGAATCCCCTGTAAACAGAAACAAAATACTGTAAAAGCTAGTAATAAAAATAAATATTGCTTAACCATTGCACACAAATAGAAACATATCTTAAACGGGTAATCATATTTATATTTCACAATAGAAATAATTTTCAAGGTTAAAAAAAGGTTTTCAAATACAGTGAAAATGCATATCACTACTGCATATGGCAGCCTTATATGTATGGGGACACAAGATCAGCATTATCCTCATTTTCATTTATTCCTACTGAGGTGTGTAATTGTTCTAACAAGTGTAACAGTTCCATCAAATACAGACAGCATTTTATCAGGTACTCTCATTCCCACCGACCAATAGCTTATGTATTGTTTCATTAAACTTTACAATGGATTGCTTCATACCAGAGCAAAGGAACTCAGCAATTTTTTAATGGAATATATTTAGAACATTATTGAATATTATATGATTTCTAGAAGATCTCACTAGAAAGAAATTATTATGGTAATTGCAAATGAAGTTTAGAAATAAGACTTGCCTTTTTATTTCTGAAATCTGGCTCAGAAGCCTGAAAATAAAATTACTCAGGCACAGTACTTATCGTGTTCAAGTGGGAAAGTGTCTTTGTTAGAGGCAAAGTGAACCTGGCACTGAGATTTTAACAAGCTTCCAGCTATCTTTGGGACAGACTACATTCATTTTCCCAGTAAAATAAACATTTAACCACACAGTAAAATTCTGTGCAAAAATAACAAATCTTATTTTGACTGCTATCCATGACATTCTAAAGAAAGGCTATTGCTCAGCCAGAAAATACTGTTTCCTGCTGTTCTGGCATTCAAGTTTCTGGCATAGCTCTTACACCAGTATTCTTTTGAATACAGAATATATGTTCCCATTTTCTTTCCTTTAAAAGCAGTGTCCTATTGACAGGGACACTTTCATCACACTCACAAAAGGAGCAGGCACCACCTTGTCTCCTCTGCTCTCAAGCACAACAGCAGCTCTCAGTCCTTTTAAAGCATTTGAAGATCTTGTTGACTAGCCAACAATCTGTAAGTTTTAGAGCCAGCAAAAGTCTTCTGGTAAACACTTTTAGAAGTTCTCAAATTGTATACAAACACAGAGGCTGCAGCCTGGGTAAGCATTAGCACATCACAATTGCTTTGTGTTCCATGAGGCTTTCATCCACAAGGAATTCTGTCCTCCTCAGAAACACAGCTGTAGAGCAAAGCCTTATTACTGCTGCAGGTGAGAAATGGCAGCATGTTGGTTCCCCTGTGGAGCTGCCTAGGGTACCTGAGAAGTTTGTGTTCTGTCCTTCATCGCTGCTTTTAATTGGAGCTAGATAAGCTCCTTTTTAAAGGTGGCCTTTAGAAAACCAGTTCCACTAACCTGTATTAATTCACATTCCTCTGTCCTTTTGGCTCTTTTATTTTCTAATAATCACTTCTAGAGGTAAATTGTCATCTTTTACAATTGGCAGTTTGTCACTATGACTCACAAAAGTGCAAATGCATAAAAGGTGGTATTTTAAACCACATTTTATAATAAGACAGACATGGTCATATACTTTCATGGACTGAAGATTATAAAAGTTACTCGTGACATTGTTAAAGATATTGCTCTGGCTGCTTCTACAGTATAATATATTGACACTCATAGAAGTAGGGTCTGTTGCAATAGGACAAGGGATAATGGTTTTAGAGTGAAAGAGTGTAAATGGAGATTGGACATAAGGAAGAAAAATTTTACAGTGAGGGTGGCGAAACACTGGCACAGGCTGTCCAGAGAGGGGGTGGATGATCCATCCCTGGAAATATTCAAGATTAGGTTGGATACAGCTTGGAGTAACCTGATCTAGTCGAAGATGTCCCTGCTCTTTGCTGAGGGGCTTGATTACCCGGCTTTTAAAGATCCCTTCCAACCCAAATAATTCTATGATTCTATAAAAGAAACCAAACTTGTTCTAAAACTGGGACACTTCTATTTCAATGATTTTTAAATTTCCTCAAATCCCCCTGAAGAACTAAAAACTGTAACTGGTAAGACCTAATTTCTGCTCTAACATATCATAGAAATATTTGTTATTTATTGATTGCTTCTGCCCACCATCCCACTCCTCCCACCACTGAAAAAAAGCTTCATTGGTAGTTTGCTGATTCTCCCTCTGCACATTCATCAATAAAAAGAAGACTATAGCTTTCTGAATTATTCAGTGCAACACTAAACCAATAGAAGTGGAACATGCCAGCTCATACAAAACTACTGTAATTTTAACCGCTGTTTTAAAATCATAATTTTGAATTATTTCTCATCAAATCTTGCTGAAGTATGCTGAAGAAAAATTTGAATTCAGTCTCTTTACTTGAGGCTTTCCGTGGCCCTAGGGAATGGAATAGACAAATACACAAAATGACTACAAAAAATCAAGCGAGTGAGTTAGGGAGCTCACTTTCTTGGTGAGAAAACCTAACTGTTGGATCAACTAATTACTCAGCCATTACTTACTGGAAGAAATTAATCCCTAATGAGGCCAATAATTTAGCAAATTACTTCCGTATTTTTAACTTCCCATTTGGCAGCCAGACTATTGAAAATATTTTGGTTAAGTGGCTTGACAGACTTTCCAAGTGACAGTCAAAATTTCTAGAGCAACACCTTTAAAGTAACTTCTCTAACCATTCTAACAATTATAGGGCAAAAAAATCCATTGAAAAAAATTAAGATGTCATTGAAGTAAATAACAAAAATCTCACAAAACTCAGAAGATTCAGCCTTTTACCTAAATAAGGTCAGTGCTTTGGGGTCCCTGTTATGACACCTGAAAAATGGACATTATATGTAAAAGTTACAAACACGGGGGGGGGGAAACAGAACACCCACTTCTGTGGGGCTGTGGGATGATGCAGAAATCTTTTTATACCCTCTAGTTTATCCTAATTAATTACTGATTCTCAATATTGCTCAGAGGAATCCTGTCATCTGAGCTTTTGCATGTATTTTCTCATCTTTTTCACAGGAAAAAAAGAAACACATGCTTCAGTGACTTTTGTCCTGGTAGGTAGATATTTTGTCATTCTTGGACACTTGGTTTTGTTCTGGGTGAGGAGTTGTTGGGAATGTTTACATAAATAATCAAATATTTGCACAAACACTTGCCAGTTACAGCAACATTTAGTCACAGCCCAATTCCTTATTTTTCTTATAAATGTTTCTTTTTATTGTACAATACCAGGGGGGTAGGGGTGGTATTTTCTTTTACAATCATTTTGCAAAATAGTCCAAAGAGACCATTTGTGTGAAAGAAGAACTCAAATGAATTAGCCAAGTTCCTCTCCCACTTTCTATATCTTTTGTTTTCAGGAATTTTCAGTGATGAGTACAATAGAAAAACATAACACACTAAAACCAGAATGGAAATTTTCTTCCCCTTTCACAAATCCCAAGGGCATCTTTTATGCAAAAATAAGATCCTGAACATGACAGTACACTTTACTCCTATACAGAGAGCATCTTGATTCATATCTTCTTTGGCAAAGAGCCTAAGCAAAATATACTTACACAATGCACAAACAGTTAGGGATTTTCCTATTTCTCTAGGGTTTTCCCCATTTGTGGTATTACTCAACTCTAGCTAGAGGTTATCTGAACAGACACCACCAACGTGCAGTATTCTGAATAGAAGGTGTGGTGCCAATTTTTTAGCTAGCACAGCAACTTCTCCTCAATCTAAGCCAATTGTAATATCCCATTGTTTTGCCTAACAACTGTAGAGAAGAAAGTGAGATCAGCGGAGGAAGACTTGGATTAGGGGGCACAGAGAGTGTTTTCATGAATTAATATTACCAAGGAAATGGAAAAAAGATCAGATCTGCTTCCCATCTCCTCTCATATCTCCAGGCACTGAATCAAGTGCAGAATTGTGGAAATTCTTCCCTGGATGTTTTGTCACGCAGGAAAGAATCTGAGGAAAAACTTGTTTTCATAGTCTACCTGTTAGCTCTGTTGTACGGCAGCCCTTCCACAGCTCTGTGAGGAAGAGTACTATGCCTGAAAATGACTTAAAATGTATTCTTTAATTGGGACTAGGTTGTCAGACACTTAACATTCATTCATTAAGGTACCTACATTAAAGTCAGTGAATATAGGTGAAGTTTTCCACCCTTTTAAGAGATCCTCAGTGGCAAAGCTATTACCTATATTTCTGCTTTAGGTTCAGCTGTCAGAGAGGACAGAGAGAAGGCAACATGACCATATTCTGATGTTTCCATCTATTCCAACAATTTCTTTTCTTTGACCACCATTAAAAGCAAGAATGTATGCATTCTTACAACACAGGAAAAGAGTGGTTTTGCAATAACTGATGCTCAAATTGCAGCCAAAAGGCTGATAAAGATGATTAATTTAATAACGTAATTTTCTGAATTTCAATTGAGAGGATATGCTCTGCACAAATCCATCTTATTCTGCACACAAATAGGAAGGATGTCCCAGATCACTAAGTCTAGTCCCCGATAACCACAGATACCGTATCATCCAATCCCTTTCAAAAACTGGAGAAGCGTTATTCTAAAATCAGTCAGGCTTTCATGTGCACTGCTCTGATAGCCAAGGCTATTCCAGAAGCCCTACTGTCTGCCAGCACCAAATCTTTTAATTTCTAACATGAACACAACAATGGTTAGCTTGTATTGACTTCTGATCGTACTCATTATCTTTTCACTTAAATAGATGCTTTCCACCCTGGAATTTACTTTTCACTTATCTACAACCAGTAATAAACTGGTTTCTCTGCCTTTTCTGAGACTGTAAAAGTCAAGCTCTTTTATTCTAATCAACCATGCTTTCCTTCTTACCATCACCCTTCTCAGCAGCTATTTCTACTTTAAAGTATCTGTCCAAATGGAGTGACCAGAACCACACACAGTTCTGAAGAGAAAAGGGTTTATTGGTGCCTCTTAAAGTTGTAATAATCTTTGTCTCAGGTGGGAGGACCCCAAACATGCCATATCAGTACTTATCCTTC